AGTTCTCTCTCAGCCGATTCAGGTGAGAGGAGACTCTTATAGCTTCCCCTCTTTCTGTCACGTGAAAAGGGTAAGGCAGCGTTAACCGATAGCCTTGTGCCTCAACCGTCCTTTGCCTTATCCTTTCCTTTTCTTTCTATACCGTCCACCCGATTCGGGTGGAGGGCGTAGAGTACTTGGGGACAACGGTGGGTTCGTGACACGCATCCAATTTTCAACGAGTTATCAGACCATTTTGCTACTGTCGTCGCAGCTGCTGGTCCTCCAAATGACTCGAGTTGATATTGTTGCAACACTCCAACTATGCCTTCGAGTCATCGAAAGAGGCCACTTTCCTCGCTATCCTCACACGCCAGACCGCTGGATGCGAGCTCAAGCACATTTGTCCGTGATGTTCAACACACCGCGACCTGTACGCGAACATGTGGAGAAGCTGGGTTCAACGACCTCTACAAGTACGATTGTTTCATGGTCAAATTTAAGAACTACTCTCATTATTCAGATCCCTCCCAGGAAAGGGGTGATGCAAAACAAAACGAGTGGTCGGAGCCAACTACCATTGACACGAATCAAGATATGTTACGAAGTTCAAGGACGCATATGATGCATTCGAGAAAAGTCCGCTTACCGTTCCCAGCCTTGGACCAGATGCCTATTAGACGACCAATATCAACCCGATGCTGTAGCTGAATAAACAAGCGGCGTGCAATCCCATTCTGTCAGTGGTCGTGTGGGATCTGATTTCTCGTCCCGATCTCGTGGTCCCCGAATCTAGCGAAAGACGGACCAAGAAGAGATTCTTCTATATACTTTTACATGCGCAAGCCAAATGGCCCAACGCTGCCGAAGAAATTGAGTGGCAACGCAGCAGCATACGAGCCGGAGAGGGTTTCATACAACAAGAGCGACAATAGGATCACTGTTCTCAACCCAAATGGATACCTGGCCTACCTGATACAGCAGGATATGTTCACCTCGAAGAAAATATCCGTCTACATTGGAAGCGCAATGCTCGGAAGTGTAGGGGTGAGGAGTAGCGAGACGGTTGAAGCCCAAACACTGGTAGCCCGAAGAGACCCGAATTCCGTCTTTAACAAGGTCATCTACCTAGAAGCGAAAACAACTGGAACCGGCTGGGATGTTAAGACCGCAAGCACATTGGACATCGAAAGGTTAGCAAGACTTTGGAAGGTTCGGCAGATTTGAGATGTTCTGTGTGGCTGGAATAGATCTCGCGACTGCGCCAAGCTATGGAGAGCGTTGAAGGGTGTTACAAGCAACCTTGGAGGAAAGGAGGTGGGCGGAGGTCAGTCTCGATGGCAAGGCTGTGTCTTGGTAGACAATGGTGTAATGCCGGTAACTCAGTATATAGATAAACAGGATGTTTACCGTCCAAGTGACTTGATGAAACAAGGAACACACTTTTATAGTTTCCTGTAAGGAAGATCCTGAATGGTGATTTAATATGTTCACTTATCACAGCTGTCGTCGGTCTATTCGTCACCGCCAGTCCCCACTTTGTATATACCTAGGTATGCGAAAGAGCCAGATCAGGCACCCCACGCTCGGGTCAGGGAGTGCTCTGGACGCTCACGCTGAGATAGAGACGGAATCGAAGGCCTCCGGCTTAATTCCAGAGCTATAGCGAAGCCTATCAAGGCCGTGGTGAGTGGTTTGGTTCTTGCTTAATTGTCCCTCTCCCCCCAGCCACCTGTCGGCCCTTGGGGCCGATATGATCGAGGGCCGAGAAGAACGTTCTGCGAGAGGCTATACGAGGTGACGCGTTGCTAATACGGATTGTTTGTGATCCAGACTGTGTTTATGCTCACCGATGTCCCCAGAGCAAAAGCTGGAGAGCCCCGCAGGTACGAGGAGGGCGAAGATTGTCACGCGTGGGCTTGGGGCAACGCCAGAATTGTGAAAAGAACCGAAGTTTGAACGGAAGATTCATATTTCCACGCTCCATTTCAGTGGCACGGCTTACTCATTCTTTTCGCATACTCTATTCACTGCTTTCTCATCAAAGTCAGCGAGTCGGATGTCGTAATAGTCAGGACGAGTCGCCCCATTTTCATCATTTGTGTCAAGATACCCGATTGAAGCTGATTTATCATGATTCAATCCTCTGAATAAAGCACATGGTGCAATAACAACAGGACATAGATTAACTCTTCCTTTTCTGACCCGCGTTAATTATGTTCTAGTCCTCATGTGACTGCACATCATTGACTGATCCTTTTTAGAGACTGGCAAGTATGTCTCTTTGGTCTGTCCGAGATTGAAGTCCAAATTAAGGACATTGATCATCCTATTGGCTTGCGCCAGACAGCCTCGCGCCGTATCGCAAACCAACGGGATCGTTTCTCCAGTCAGCGATATTTCTTCCTCTCTATTTCTTCACGACTCCATCTTCTTCCTTATGGCTTGCTCAACCAGCTCCAGAAATGCCCCCTGTGGGATATATACGTCGTCAGCTTGCCAGTCACCGCGGGCGCTGGTTTGGGTACGGTCATCGACTGATTCGGCGCTGAAATGTGCGTGGCCCAGCATGGCCGCCATGTTGAGGAAGCCTTTATGCTTGAGCCCGAAGGGCAGGATCTCGACGAGGGCCGAGCCCCGCGGGAGGAACATGCCATGTGTCAACCCCGCGCCGTGCACGCCGACAAGGATATCAGTCGACCGGTCGACGGCGAGCTGCTGGGCGAAGGGCAGTTGCGCGAAGTCCACCACGTTGAGCTGAATGGTGGGGTGGCGGAGACGCAAGGCATCGAGCAGGCGGGCTTGGTCGACCAGCCGCCGTTTAGTCGTGCGATCGATGTAGGTGATGACAAGCGGGTCGTCAGGCTGTTTGGGGGGGTCATGGATTTGGTAATAACTCAACACCCGCCGCGAGAATGCGCGCAGCAGAGGGGAGTCGGTACAGTCGAGCAGGTTCCAGTCCCCCTGCCAAAAGGGGTTTCCTCCACCCGCCAAAGGCACTATAATGTTTCCTGGCTCAAGTGGGAAAGAGCTTGTGATGTCGCTCAGCCTGAGGATCGGCTTCTGGGCAAAGAGATGCCATAGCTCAGAGTATGGGCCGTCGGGGAGATGATCTAGAAGGAGCACCTGGGTGTTAGAGAAGTCGGAAGGTTGAATAAAGGGAGCCTTCGTGGCTGGATTGTGTGCCATGCGGAGGATGTCCAAGGTCATGAAGGTAGCGAAGATCTCCAGCAGGGCGTGCCAGATGTTTTTGTACTCGTCTTCCCGCTTGAGGACGATGGTCACTGGAGAAGCCTGGATGGTACTCGAAGGGGTCGCGCCCTGCATAGTGGCAAAGCTCACGGCGGTGCTGAAAATGTACTTTGGACCCGTGGAGTACCAGTAACCTGGGAGGTTGATGAACCGCGGCAAGCCGCTGTTAAGTTCGTCGGGTAAGAGGTCACGGAGGCTGCAGTCCAGCACGAACTTGTGTTGGTCGAGGTCGAAGGTGGCGGGACCGGCGATGCAGAAGGCATCTTTGCGTCGGGTCTTGGTCTCGGTGATGCTACTGAAACAAGTCATGCGCGAGGCCGATTCAGCGGTACAGTATTCAGCAGACCGTTGGCTGAAGTTGTCGAGATAGCCGAGTCCAAAGCGTTCCTCGCAGAACAATGACTGATTCGATACCGTGCTATACTCGAACGGCCAGGCAAATTGGTCAGCTTCGAGCAGTTCTGTGTTCGAGCCATCGTGGCTCACAGCTCCAGATAATCCAGCCGTCCTGTCATATTCAGCACCGGCGGGTGAGATCAACCACGAGCGACCTGAGAGACCGTAGAGAGCAATTGTAACTAAGATGAAGACGCCCAGGAACACAACAAGCCGGTAAGGCTGGAGCCGTACATTGACCAACATTTTCGTGTGGACAAAAGGGCAGCTTTGTTGTCAGCGCTGGTCTTGTTGGGGAGGCCCGGGGTGAGATCGCAAAACATCACTAGGTTGAGGCATGGGCGCTTTACTCTGAATTGAGGCCTGGCGTCTGACAAAGCTGCATCATCTTCCCGTACGGATCGAACTAAATGCCGAGTTGACGACGGCTCTGAAAGACTGAGACGACAGCCGTTTGGAGCGGTAGCTGGCGACAGCACTCACAAGTCAATCCTGATGCCAAGAGCCTGATTTACCGCGCTTGCACAGCAATCAACTCATTCACAGGCCCTCACCCTACGCTACCTACGTCTTGCCTGTTACTATACAAGGTACGCGTCCTAGGGTTCCAGAGGTGTATTCGGCAAGACGATCATCGCATGATTCGCTCGGGCTGCCAATATAGGGGGGCGGCGGTCTGGAATTGCAGGCCCGGGCTGCTCATGTACTTCGTACCCCGTATGGTGTAACCGGCCCGTCTGGCCCCTTGTGTTTCAGTTCTGCGAGTGGCTAAGTAAGCGCCTCACCTCCTGCTCAGCCGAAACAACTGTGCCCTGTGGACCCGAAAAGCGCCAGCGGGTAAGGAAGAAATTCCTTGCTAACTTCTTTTCTCCCCCATATCTTTTACCGCTGCTTGCCATTTTGGCTCCTATCTTGCTCCGTGCCAGCAAACTAACAAGACGGAGATAAAATACGTGGATCTGGGAGAAGAATTACATTTGTTACCAACGAAGGAAGGTTGGAGGACTAACCGAATGGGCAGAGATTTAAAGTATTAAATATTGAAATGAAGCTGTTTGATTCCCCACAGAACAGCATCCAAGACAATATCCCCCACACTTAGACCGGTTTACGGTAGTAGCGGCCCGGCCCATATTGGGGACTATAAGGCGATTAGCAACGCTTGCGGCGAACTGCAAGGCGAAGAAATTTATAGCAGTGGTAAGAGCAACGTAATTCTGAACTGTGAAAAGTTTACAACACCATGCACTATCTAAAATTAAAAAAAAGAAGGCAAAAAAGGGCGTGACGAGGTTCGACAAATCGCCCAAGGGTACGCACCACTAACTTTTTGTAGGGGTTGGCCCCCTGGGCGAAAAAAGGACCCACGTATATGTTAGACACAGCCTTGAGGAAACCCGGTTACGAGTTGCATTGGCGCGACTCACCACACTCATTGGACAGATGGAAGGATCCACAGGAGAACAAGGCTGAGTCACGTGATATGCCCTGTTGGCTCTGTTGGCCCTGTTGGCCCTGTTGACAGAGCGCACAGAGCGCACAGAGCGCACAGAGCACAGGCATTATATATACACCCTCGTTACCCCTACATAGTTACACTCTCTCCGTAGCCAACTCATGTTATCTACTGGACTATACAGTTCTTAGTAACAGAGAAACCTTGCTCATATCGCGTGTGATCCACAACCAGCTCATGCTATACCAGGATTGTTGCTGAGAACCCTAACCCAGTTAGGATCAGTAGGGATCCTTAACACGAAGCTACAGCGATATCTAATTCCGATGAGACCATCGATCCTACTATCTCACCGAGGGACCGCTTCGACGCTCTACTTTCCTTAGCTAACCTACGGCTAAGTAAGATACCTACTTTCGACGACTTCTATAGCGGCCTACACCCAGATCTATCGATCGACCTAAGTCTTTCCGATTTAGAGCTGACGAAGCTCGTCTCGCCGATGAGCCTCGGGACTTCCTACCCTTTCTCCGAACGTAAGCATAGTGCGACCGGTAATAGCCCATCGGAATCGGGGCCTCGCACGCTAGACGCGGTGAAAGCGTCATAGCCCGTTGAGCTGCCGATCCTGCCGAGCTAGGCGGTTATGGATGCGGGGGCTAGGACCCGCTCGTCGGTGGAACCCTAGTAAAGAACCCGTATTCCTGTCAGCAAAATGGTGGACGTTGCCACGATGCAGACACTCCTAGAGCCTAGTCCCTCAACAGGCCAGTGGCTAGATCGCAGGGCGAGAAATCTTCCGCCCATCGGAGTAAACAGAGACGACGGTCGGACAGCGGAGGATGCCTTAGCGTTCACCGGCGATGGCGATAAATATACCGAGCTCGATTTATTCCCATCCCGTTGCATAAACCTAATGACGTGACTAATTCCCTCGAGCCAGGAGAGGTCGAGGACGACGCCATGTTCGATTAGTATTTATGCTCTCCTTCACCCCCGCCCTCGCCCATCCCTTCACCGGAGGACACGACCAGCGAATTAAGCGGGTCAACGTTGTTTTAATGCCGGCGGCGATCGGACCCGTGGTTGCCCGGAGTTATATACGCAGACATTGAGAAGTCCAGCTCCAGAAACTTCGCCGGAGAGTGAGATGATTCGAGATAAAGATAACCCTTGCCACGCCGCGAATGGGACTTGCATCCATCTGCGAGTCAACCAGCCTAAAATCACGCTCCGCCTTAAACTCCAGGACAGGGGCCAATCTGGAAAGAGAAAAAAGGGGCGGGGACGACGATCATAAAAAACGGGGAATCGAGGAACTAAGAGAGAAGGGAAGGGAGGTAAACGAGACAGCTCCGTTGAATGTAGCGGTCCAAATCTGCTGGTGTAGTGAAAGAGCCACTTGAAGAGATGTTTCTAGAAGACGGACCCCCTGTTGAAACCCAGCTCCCAAGGATTCCAGCTAGCTAGTTACATTAGTTAAAATTAGGTGGTTGGAAATGGGCTTTCCCATAACTACGATTCTCGCTTGAACTCCTTAAGAACCAACAGAGACTCTTCCATGACTTTGCCACAAATATACTTGCAAGTCCGTTGAGGACTCTCGGCATCGCTATTCCAGCAACGGTTCTGGCCGAAGACAAGGAGCAAAAAAGGCCCCAACGAGGCACAAACTTCGTTCATGCACAGTATTCTTGTGGAGACATAGGTTACGTTCCAGGTATCTTCTTCCCCTATGCTCCGGCATCAAAGACGTTCCAGAGCAGTAGAAGTACGGGTATTAAGGCCGCTGCACCCTTCGACAGAGCCAATGTCCTGCAAGCTATTGAACAAGTGATTGAAGACGCAAATGACTAAAACTTTCCAACCTTGATTTCTGCGTCTGGCTCGTTTTCCATCATAAATCGCACTCGCGTTTTAATCTTCTCGTCCAAATCATGGAAAGATTTTGCCCCACTCTTCGGTGGTGGTGATTGTTCAAGCGACTTCATAATGAAATCGAGGTTGTCACGAGATACAGTCCGGGTTGCCAGACCGACGACTATTTTGGCCAAGGCCACCACGCAGCCGGCAATCGCAATGGTGACACCCACCTTGGACGTTCGAGAGTCCAGTCCGTACGACCAGACATGGACCAGGAAGTTGACAACGAGAGATTGGACACCAGCTGAATCCGGAGAGGCAGGTTGAAGTGTATAGTCGATAAGCGACAGAGACTGTGCGACGATGATGGACTGGGGGTCCGAAAGTTCAGAGGCAAAGGTTGGAGTTTCAACAGAGACGATGAAGTCTTCCTCGCCAACAAACGCTTGCTCATTGCTTAATGTACCGTTTCTGTCCACGTTCCAGGCAGCTAAGATCCAATTCGGATCGACATAAATGGGATCGACAGCACCTCCTAGAGCAAGAGGACCCTCGTCCTCCATGGTGACGGTGCTAAATGGATTGGTAATCGGGGACGTGTCAAACACGTAGGTAGCTAACCGAGGAAAAACAAAGGATGAGCACCATGAAGTTGTGGAATCGTCAGAGAAGATGTACTCTGTGATAAGCGGATTCATGGAAACATTCCTGAGAAGAGGAGTTGGCTCTGTGGCAAAGAGAGCATCCCAATCGCAGGGGCTACTGGCGCTCTCAGAAGTCGTGCTCTGCTTTGGGCATTCATAGTTGGAAGAATTGAGATAAATTGCCCGGTCAGAAGAATACACGTTAGTCGTCACTGGCGTCGACGAGGAGTTTGCGAGATAAAACTGTGCATGTGCATTCTCAGAATGTGACCAACCAGGCCCCGTGCGAATGCACATTGTGGAGATAGGCGATCCCTCGATCGTGTACGAGACAGGATAGAGATTCTCGAATACGTTGCTGGAAAAGCCTGTCGAAGGCCCGCCGAGTACCGCCATGAAATCGAAGCAACGGACATATTTTTTGGCCGTGATTTGTGTCACCGAAGAAGGCAGGAACGCTCCCATGCAGTCGCAAGAGAAGAGATACCCAGGTGCCTGTCTTCGACGAATGACTTGTTGGGCATTTCGAAATGCGCGGTACATACTCGAAGTGAGGCCGGGACCAGCGAACTCAGCGGCCGAGGTAAAGTTGGATTGTTCGCCAGAGAAGGACCATTCGTTGAAATCTATGCTGATCCGGTTCAACGTTTGACGACTGGGGATGATAGGAAGAGCTGGTACTGTGCCGGTGATATTGAACGAGAACCTCATGAGAGACTGAAAATTGATTGATTCATCCGTGATATACCGCAAGTCTCCGACACCGCCTTGCAGACATGAATATTGGCCATCAGCCATCTGAGTAGATGAGCAAGTTAGGATTTCAGATGAGCCTGGGGGTTTGGATGCTCCGATCCCAACGACCTGCTGGTATTCAGGGACTGTGATCGTCCTCCAGCCCAGGGTTGGAAGGAGTAATACCGCCGTAGCGGGTCCCATGAGATTGCAAACAATAGATAACAAAGCTGCAAATGTGATTAAAAGGTAGATTGTGCGCCTTCTTGTATTCCCTGTTGTCGAAGGAAGTGGCACACTCCCAGTGCGCGGAGAGAGTGGTGATTTCCACAGACTAGGAGACTTGAAGCTCATCAGCTCACCAAAGTCGCTGGGAAGGACGAGACAACGAAATGGAAGCCCGTCCCCATTTCTGGCCAACAGCATTGTGAGATCAAGCATGAGGCTGCCTGCTAAAAAGATAAACCATATCTCCAGTGCTTTTGCAACCAGTTGTAAGGCGCCGAGGATATTGTGGTCGCTCTTGTCAAGTCGGTCGGTGGTATGTTGCCAGTTTTGGGACCATGGGTTATCATTGCAAGAGCGGACGCCGCAGGAAGCGCTCGCGCCAGCTATATACCCCTTAAAATTCAGGACTAGGAGTGCAATGATACAGGCAAGCCAACCAAGTGAGAGGAATAGCAATGAGACCACCCAAAAGACACTGTTATACCAAACTTGGATCCTGGTGCGAATACTGGAGGAAGCTGGCGAGGTAGATTCATTGACAGCGGTCGCACTTGACGCCGCGACTTCGGTTTTCCCCATCATGTATCCGCGAAGTTGGGGACAGAAAGCAATGATTTCGCCAGGAAGGGTCGCTGGAAGACAAGCAGCCCGACAGCAATTGAACAGAGAGGCCTAATATCCCGCAACTCTATAAGCCAAACCAGGCGCAACCAAGGCTCGGGTCGTTGCTAGTTCGCAGCCGCACCGAAGAGGATTCAATCAGCCACCTGATGGTCCTGTGCACTGGTACTCCGATAATTGGCATGCCTACCACAGGCGGACGCGACATATCGGAGCTGAAGCCAGTGGAGTGGGTTCTACCATGACAACGTACTTTTGCAGTGGGGGGTGATGTGCGCTTGGGATTGGCTAAAGCAACTGATTCCCGTTCAAGCGGCTACCAAATTAGGTCAGCGTGCTGAGGTGTCACCCACACTAAGAGAGATCATGTCCTGCAGCTTTACGCAAAGGGGATGCATATCACGTAAATGGCGAGGCCAGGGAGCTGACGTCTTGTGCACGATCCGGAATACATGTGAAGATTTTCCGACGTTGACCTTGAATGATGGCCAACCACCTTACATGCAAAGATAGCCCACTTTCCGTCACTGCAAGTGTCATTGGCATCCTGATACGGACACGCGCACAAATCGCGTCACCCTGCTAGGAATTAGAATGACCACTAGTGCATAAAATGACATTAGATTTTCTGGCTTATGGGTGCGACACGCCTATTAGTGCCTAAAATATTAGGGTGGTAAAGCCTAATGTACAGGGTATTAGGGGCGCTGTAACCCCTAGACTCCGTTTTAAGGGGCAACCATCAAATAAATATCTAGTCATTTATTTGCTAGTGGTCATTCTAAATGCTAGCGTGGTCACACGATTTTGTGCACGTCTCCCTATTTGTGACCACTCTTATAATCGGCTTCTGTGTACGGTTACAGGCACTGAATGCACTAAGAACGATCGATTGTGAAATTGTGCAGGCCCTTCACATGACCATACAATCCTTCGAAGAGACCAGAATGCTCGAAGACGATATAAGTTATACTTAATAAAGCTTTAGGCACTGATAGGCATACCTCGCCTCTAAGCCTCAAAAATTAGCTGTCATACTATTAAGTAGTGGTCATTTTATCTACTAAGTCTGACCACCAAGTTTTGCACCAACCCCGTTTTACACCACCTAATCGAATCGCGACCGTAACAGAACAAGTCTCAATTACTCAACTAACACTATCGTTGATGTGGAACACGTGTGTGAACGCCTCGATTGGGTCATTAGACGTGCCATTCCCGTTGTTTATAGACTGCCTAGTCCTCCGCGTCGTTGTCGTTGTCGCTCTCAATGTCGCCCATGCCTCTTTAGCCTGCTGTATAGTCTCGATGCTAGCAAAGGTCTTATTGGCATTAATTGCCTTGCCTTTTTGTTTCCTGGCCTTCGATCGCTCTAGTTAAGACTCAAGCCTAGCGATTTATTTATCCTTCTATATATTCTCCCACTGTAAACGATCGAGTCGTTTAGCCGTTTTTCCTAGAAAGGTTCTTAGTGGCCTTGAGATCCCTTCCTGATGTGTTGCTCTGTGAACTGAATCGCTGAAATTTCGTCTATTACTAGGCGATAGATAGACATCGCTATCGAGAACTTTGCGCTTGCGAGAAGGTGGTGTTTGTGGCGTAATCTTATTAGTTACGGCGCTAGTAAGAACGAGATTCGATCGAATTGCCTTCCGTAGATTCCATGGATAGATACCACTGGCGTTTTAGCTAGACTTAATATTGGCGACACTGAGGCCTTCCTAGCTAGCTTTCTAATAGATCTATAGAAACCTCGTTTTCTTTACTAGGCTTACATCGTCGAACCTAGCTAGATTAGCGATCTACGCTCGATAACGAGACTTAACTAACGAAAAATAAGTAAGATTAAGTGGCTAAAGAATGTGACTCGAATGGGGTAGTAAGTAGTACATCACGATGTTATTTTAGTGACATTTCCATATAAACTCGTGCGTAACATAACTCTTATAGCCATTTAGTAGTAAAAGTCGATACTCGCCGCGAGTAGTTCCTTCTATAGTTGTTTAAGGTAGAAAGATCTAATCTAGCCAGCTTAGTCCGATTTCGTTTAATTTTCAGCCGTTCGGAGAGATTATATATCGATAATCTGGACTAGACTCGTCGAACTAAGTAGTTTAAAGCGATTAACCTTTGAAGATGACTAGCGTCTATAGACGTTGACTAAGGGCCGAGATTGTCTCAACGAGCGTTACCCATTCGCGTGTCTCGGGCGATTTTTACAATGAACTGGTGGTTGTAGATGTTCCTACAACGATTTAATTACTGTAAACGCCTAGGGCTAATTCAGATTCATCCATATTCCAGGTATATCGAAGTTAAATTGAATATCGCTCTTTAATCGTCTGTAGATCCTAAAACCATTGTTCCAGAAGCTTAGGAAGTGTGCAATTAACGCGCTTAACATAGATCTTCCTACCTACCTTTGAACGGATATCAGGATGTCGCTAAATAAACCGTGGTAGCCAATTAATTCTAACGCGTTCAGGGCCGCCATTTACCTTACTAATTATATCAGCGAGATCTCGCACAGTGAAATAGCTAGGAGGATGTCCTTGTGCCTCAAGGTCGAGTATCCATCTCTTTAATAGTTCCTCCTGTATATTTAATAATATCTACTGTGGTTCGTGGGATAACGCGGCCGATTGAGTGCCCTGTAGTCGGCGGACGAGCGTGGAGTGGTGGACATCGTTCGCGGCCGCGGCTGCGCGAATGCTAGGATATCGACGTGATTGATAGTCAGAGATTGCTTGCTGGATCCTAGCCTCTCGATTCGAGGCCATTTACGCGTGATTAAAGGCGAATTGGTTGAGTGGTAGTTGGTTGATTGAGTTGGTAGAGAGGTGGTGGGGTGGTAGAACGCGTGGTGTAAAACAGGGTTGGTGCAAAACTTGGTGGTCAGACTTAGCCGACAGATGCTTTGGTGTGCGCCTCCGTACCGTAGGAATCTGTGGTATGTAGACAGGTGGCTTAAATTGCTGTGGTATAAATTGCTGTGGTGTTGTGAAGCACCAAATGCCGAGGTGTTACGGGACGAACGATTCCAACAGCGTGCATTAGCCTCGCTAGGAAATACCCATTCAGTAATATTGCCGAGATTTGCATCCAATAGGCTTCTGACAACGCACCCCTACAGAAGCAGAACGCTCAGGAATGGAACTACTTTGGACAATTGACTCCTCTTCGGCTTTTATCAGCTGTTCAACAGCAGCACCTGGGCGGGAGAAAGATTCCCGTGGGGCGGCTGACTCCGATCACAGATGCACTTCCAGTGCAAGCCGTCTCACAAAGCAGGCTCAGCATAGCTTCTCCTTTATTTGTCCGGCGAGAGCAATGTACTTGGAAACGAACTCGACAGATGTTTTGTGTCTTATTGTTGGTCCTTACCACACAGAGCATAAATCTTCATATGTGTTTGCTCCATCTGTCTGCCATGGAGGATAACGTAGGCGTCAATGGTTACATGGGGTCTGGACTGAGCGGGGATGGGAGCGACACCGAGTCATCCGGTAAGAAGAAGGTTTCTTTCGCTGAGGACGATGTCATTATGCCAAAAGCGAATTCCTTGCAGGGAAACGGAAAAAAGGTAAATGCGATTCTCATCTCTCAAATTTTGTCCTAAACTCAAACCAGACACTTTGCGAGAGATGTAAAGGACTTGGCTTGCGAATCGAGAAATTTCTTGTTCAACGCAATGTTGAGCTAGCAAGGCGAGGTTCTCACGTCTTTAATCAAAGTTCCAAAAAGCTGGGCGAAGCCGACCTAAACTCAGGATCTGGGAAGCGAAAGTTGGGCCTTTTGCAAGACATCATCTCGACCAGCGACTCCTGCCCCTTTTGCTGGCTTATTGTAAAGTCCATCGAGACCAAGAAGGATCCAGACCGCCGGCTTCGTGAAAGTGCTTCTTGTTATATGAATTGGGAAATTGATGGGCGCGAGCGGACGCAAGGTATCATGAGACCGCGCACCCGTCGTATCCATATCACCTGGGATAAATCCGAACTTGAAAACTGGGACGCGCATTTCGTGTTCTATGTTGGACCATCGAACCTCCCACATTCAGACGCGAGGGAGAACTTCGTCAACGAGGTCCTATTCCTTGGCCGTCCAATAGAGTCCTCCAGTGACAAGAAGGCACTCATGCGAAGCTGGCTTGACCTTTGCTGCGAAACCCACGAGGGATACTGTAGGCTTCCGATGAAGTGCACTAGTGACTTTGGCGACATGATTCAGAGCTCCTTCTTTGGAGTCATTGACGTGGTGACGATGACCTTGACCTCTCTTCCTCACCGAAGACTGGGGGCGGACGAACTTCCCACAGATGACCCTTATCACCCTGTCTATTTTGCAAGTGATGGGTCAAAAATCGCCTACGAGCCATACCTAGCTTTAAGCTATGCTTGGGGCCCACAATCCGACAGAGGAGCTTATATGACAGAGTTGGGAAATGTGCTGCTACATCGCCGACCAGGGGGGCTGGAGAAGCACGTCGACGACTTTCCCCAGGTGACGCGGGATGCAATCAGCCTTGTACAACGCCTTGGTCTACGCTACCTGTGGGTGGATCATTTGTGCGTTGTTCAAAAGACTCGTTCATTCAAACTCAATTGCGACTACATGGATTCCATCTACGGTCACGCTATAGCCACAATATGCGCAGCTGACGGGGAAGACAGCTCAGTTGGCTTGAAAGCTATGCACCCTGAGCTAGGACGAGAAAAGCAAATCAAAGAACAATGCGAGGACGTACTTCTGATGATATCCCACCCACCAGAAACGAGAATCCGAAACTCTGTTTGGAATAGTCGAGCTTGGACTTTTCAAGAGCGTTTACTGTCACGACGTTGTCTAGTTTTCTCTGAAGGCCGCGTATATTTTCAGTGTCGGTCCACAGGCATGTCGGAAGACATTTTCGCGGATCAACTGGGCGCTGGCTGGTCGTTAGATTTGGTAGATGCGCCATCGAGGATCCTCCCCGAGATCCACCGACGTGCGGTTTGGTTCTATCTCAGAAGCGTACGTCTTTATACTGCCAGGAAGATTACACGAGATGGGGACATTTTGGCTGCATACAAAGGAATCTCCAATCTCATGGAAGCTACCCTACAGGCACCGTTTATCTTCGGTCTCCCAAGTTCACATTTTGACCTTGCTCTTCTTTGGGAGATAGGGGGCTCAGTCGAACTTCGCGTTGATAACAACTTTGCTGTTGAGGGAGACACAAAATTTCCAACTTGGTCCTGGTGTGGTTGGAAATCGGCTACCATGGATTACTACCCAGGAATGGTTGGGGATTGTGTCGCGAACTTGAATGAGTGGCTCTTGAACCACACCTGGATCTCTTGGTATATAAGAGATGGCCGTGGGAATCTTAGGCCAATATGGCCAGGTCAGGATTCTCTCGTGGACGAAAGCACTGAAGAGCGATGGAGAGGCTATGGTGCGACTACTTATGCAGCGGATGTGGACGAACACAGAGAACCAATACTTATCCATGACCACGGAAGAGCGCTGCCCCCACCACCACCACCACCACCACCACGACGTTACCCTTCTAGAAGTGATGAGACATTCGGTTCTCTTGACCGCACCCGCGAGGTTCGAGAGTATCATAGTACAAGTCACGGTGGGAGGACTCGAAGCCGCCGATATGATGATGACACAGAAACCCGTGGCCCAAATATTACTCGGGGTGATAATCGGGAAAACGACTCTGTTTACTCCGATGGTCGAGGAAAAAGTGGAAGCCGCCTCTACCCTACCCCAACTAGCATCTATTCCACCCCAACTGGCGTCTACCCTACTCCGGGTCGTCGAGAGCAGCCTCGAACGGATGAATTCGCAGATCGCGATCGACTTCCCTCTACCCGCGAGCCCGCGTATCGAATTGGGGTTCTCCGGGACCGGTACAACGGCATCCGAGATCAAGATCGGGAATATGACGTTCGAGGTCATGAAGGCGATCTTCAACATCAAGAAGATTCATTTCAGGCAACCCTGCCACTCGAATCTGGCCGACGGAAAGGCTATTTCATCGACGAATATGGCCGCCGTCTTCCAGCAACATACATAGCACTCAGAAAGCCATTTCGTAAAACCCTGCCTGAAAACCCCTATCGCGTCCTCGAGAGCGTTGGTGGTCCGAATCCCGAGTTCCCGGATCAACCAATATTGCAGTTTTGGACTTGGCAAGCCTCCCTTTACGTCATTCCCATGGACGAAGGAAAAGTGGATAATTCACTGCCCGGGGACCTTCAACGTTGCAATATTGCTGATGATAACGGGGATTGGTGCGGAACGATCGTCCTTGGGCAACAGCAGGTGAAGGAATTCATCCAGGCGAGGCACGAGTTTATTGCAATATCTGAAGCCAAGTCGTTCACGAATGAGGAATGCGAGACCTGGACATATTATGTCCCCAAAGAGAGGGAAGATTCTGAATGGGATCTGTTATACGTTCTGCTCCTGAAACTTGGGAACCGAGGATGGCAAAGGGTCGGCTTGGGCAAGGTCTTTAGGGCAGCCTTCTCGATGGCTCGCTGGCGCGAGATTATCCTTGAATAGGAGTTTGGCTGCAAAAGGGGAACAGAGCAATTATCTCTAGGCCGAGTGTATTTGAGTATGAATGTCGCTCATCGTGGCATTACAGCTCAACGCGGGTTGCAGAGAAATTTCCCGCCGCTTTTGGAAGGTTTCCTCCCTCGGGCATTCTGCTCCGCCGTTCTGAAATACTCCGTACTGAACTCACCGACTCGCAGGCAAAAGATTGCCAGCTGTGCGGCCAAAGGAGGAAGGATTTCCAATTGTGGACAATTACATAACAGCTCCTGCCATTGCTCACGCTCTGACACACTCCGCAATTCAAAGACGCATTCGGCAATGCCGTCCAGGATCAGATAACGGTGTCCACTTCCGAGCATGTAGAAAGACCAAAACTTGTCTGATCCTCTTCCAGCACCTAGTGAGAAATCGTATTAATGATTTTAGCTGAGCTAGCTCGGTGAATCTAGTTCGCGTTGAGCGACCCGCGAACCACTGCGCAATGTTCAACCGTTACGCCTTCTTCAATCCTCACACCTGGATAGATGATAGCTTTAGCACCGATTACCACTCCGGAAGCTATAATGACGTCCCCTGCGATCCAGAGACCCTTGGTGCCTTTTCTATACTTAAAATCTTTACCGTAGTCTATTATTAAGATGGTGACGCCGGGAGCGATAATAGTTCGAGATCTAATTTTAACTATGCCGGCATCGTTAAACGTACACTCTTTATCTATATTATCTTAAATTTTAAGATTGTACCTATATATATATATTAACGGCGCCTCGATCTTAACGTAGAGATCGATATAATATTTACTATGATTCCGAGATGAGAATTTATAAGTAGTGTCTTAACTTAGATTAACTGCTTTAAGTAAGAGATTACTTACTTTCTACTTAATAAGTTCACCGTCTAGCTTATAAGCCGCATTATATTCTTTAAGAGCCTATTCGTATTATTAGCGCTTATACACTAAGGTCGAATCGAAGTAATTATACTAAACCGACCTCAACATCTTAGATTTCTTAACGTCTTCTTAACTAAAAATATTAAAGTTAAATTTCGGATAATGGAAGCTAGAAGATAACATTCGAGAATAAGTTAGTTCTATTAAATAACTCGGGGATGAAGAATACGCGAACGTATATTCGGGTTAGTACTATTAACTTTATTACTATGGCGAAGAAGTTAGCGAAGAATAAGGATCTATAAGGCGGCGATGCCGTATACTAGAAAGATATTATATTTATACGCTAGACTAACCTTAATAAGAAGATAAAGAATATTAAGAGTAAGATGAGCCTTTAGTTAGCGATCGAGATATTTCTCGAGGTCGAGCACTTAAAGATTACTCTAATCGATTAATATTAGATAAAGAGAAATATAGTTAGAGCTAGAACTTTAAGTCTATTACGATGGCTATTATTATTAATCATAATTAGACGGTCGATTTTAAGGTTCGTTTCGTAGTGTGCTCGACCCGTATAGAGATGAAAGCTACTCATCATTGTTATCTCTAGGTATCGGTTTCGCATAACCGCCTTCATAATGGGCGGGTAGACGACTCGGATGACCGGTTTCCATCTGAGACTCAATAGAAGGCGGAGTATTAAATATATTAACCTAACCGTTCTTAGACTATAGCGGTATAAAGGTGTAGGTTAGAAGGGACTTAGTTGGAATGACGCGCTCGCTCACGCTGTAGCCTTTACTAGTAAAGCCACCTCGGACACACTAGTTGCCTATTGAGTGTAGAAATTAGAGAATAGCAATTCGGAAGTGAAGTTAGCTAAACTCATAAACTGGTTGGGCTTCATCAAATTTCTTCTTCCGTCTCCGACATGTTAGACAGCTTGTCTTTGTTCTTTTGAGGTTTCGTTTCCGTTTCGGTGTAACCGCTGTAGCGCCCGTAACAGCCAGTTTCCACAGGCCAGATTTCGAGCTTAATGCCTCCTCCACTCGCTCTCGGTGGGTGTTGCGGAGACTCTTTTAAATCTTTCCTCTCTTTTTGTTCCGGGCCTATCGATAGGCCTTATAATCGTCCTCGAGTTCTGTCCGTTACCACCTACGTCGCAACCGTTGAACCTCGCGACAGATATCCTTGCACTCCGGACCAAAGCCTGGTATAGACCGTGGCGAAGGATTGGACCAAGGGGTCGAGGCATCGATGCCGGTTTGGAGTACGTTGATGATCGAATCCACATGCTCATCAATGCGTCCTTTGTCTCTAAGCTCCGCGGCGCTCAGACAGGGAGGGAGCTGTTCTTTAACGGTTTCTCGAAGTCGCGACTGGTTAGTCTTGGTCCATAATCGTTTTCTCACGGGGATGGCAGGTTACCAATCCCATGCGATGGCGGTGGCAATGGGCAGATGGTCGGAATCACAATCTCGACTGGTGTCCACACGGCAGTAGATTGTGCGAGACGCCACGCCCTCGCTGCCAAATGTCAGATCGATCGTTGTTTCCCCATTCTTCCATCTATGAGTGGTACCCGGCACGGTTAGCAACCGAAGCTGGAAGTCCTCAATGATCGCGAGCAGAGGCTGTGTGGCAGCAATCCCCTGGATAGCGTAGCGATGCACGGTTGACCAGAGAGGATGATGTAGATTAAAATCTCCCAGAACGATGACCTCGTGGTTGGTGGTCAGCGTAGCCATGGCCTATCTCAGGTCGTCCAGGGTGCTGGTCCCTAATTCATTGTACACGTTGATGATGGAAACTTTATGGTGTAGGACAGGGTGGATGATCTCCAGAGCGATGATATCTTTGGTGATGAATGACACATTCCACGTGCTGGCATCAACCCGCTTGTTGATGTAGAAGCACACTCTTGTGTTCCTGTCATTGGGATATGCCAACTGGAAATGCGTCTTCAATGGATGATAGGAGGTACGATGGTTACGCCAGGGTTCTTGAATCGCCAGCACTTCGTATTCGGAGATCCAACGGTCCTGGAAGAGACTGGCAAGGACGACATTTTTGGACTTTTGGACATTGTACTGTAAGATGCGTAATAATTGGTGTCCTGTCATCGACGGGAGGTCACTTTGGCACTGTTTGTGGCGGCTTGTCTGCGCGTAACTCGAGCATCGTTGGCACTGTCCACCCGTGGTTTCGGTGTCCAAGATGGAGTGTCCGAGCTGCCTCTTCCCATTGTCTCTCGCACGACGCTGATGTTGTTTTGAGCGTGTTTCTTTGCGGACTTCAAATGCATACGTAGTGTCGGCGGTCGATGGTAGTCCACACCGCAATACATGTAAACTGTCATGCATTTAGCGATTATCAGCTCCGCATCGTGCATCGGCCAGTCGTCGTAAATGCGTTGGTGTGCAGGGCATTTACACCCTCTGAAGATTCTTCCCCCAGCTGTGTCTGGTTCGCTTACTACGGAGGTCAGTGGTGACGATTCTACGTCTGCCATGTCCGGCACCCATTCCCCGTCTTCTCCGTCGAATATATTGCTTAGCCAGATGTCCGCGTTCTGCATTCCGAGTTCTCCTTCTCCTGTATCTAGTGGGTATAGAGATGGTTCGTGTTAATTATCCTCGGTGACTAGGGTCGCGTGAAGAGGTTCACCCATCGCTCTAAGCTGTGGATCGATGAGCGAGCCAATCTCCTCTGATGTAGGCTCTTGTTATGTCGCTGGTGTGGTGAACTCCTCATCGATAGGGAGACCGAGGAGTGCTTATACCGCCATCTCTTCAATAGGTGCCTGTGCTGGTGTTTCTGTATATCCTCCTAGCTGGTGAGAGGCGTGATTCGGTGATGACGTTGCTTATTCCTGAGCTTGTGTAGCTCTAGTCGTCGTAGATCCCATGGAGGTCCGGGTTGTTGTTTGTGTCGGGACAGTGGGAGTCGGGGCCGGGCCTACTGATAAAGCAGTCTCCTGGATACTGGTGACATTATGTGGGCTGTCTATTTCTGGGCGTGTAGTGTGTTCTCTGGCGGGGACGTACCAGTAGATGCTCCGATTCTATTTCGCGTGTTCCACTCTCTTTAATTCCTTCTTTCTTGCTGGGCAGGCGTTACTCCATGCCGTATGGGCACCTTTGCACACTGGGCATCGAGGAGTGAACCCTTCCACTCCCTTCTGCCGACAGTGTTTGGTTTCGTGTAGCTCCGTATAATAGCTATATGTTTGGAATGCGTTGCATTAAGCGCCGATGTGATCATAATGATGGCAACGGAAGCATTGTTTCACTCTGTAGGCGCGGTCGTAAAGTTAACATTAGTGTATCTGGCCCTCCCATATCATACCAGCATAAATGACGGCATTCGCCATCTCTGGGGCAGTGAATTTAACTACTATGGAGGATGCATGTTTAAGGGGGCCTTCTCTGGTTAGCCATTCTACGTATGATATCTTGGCATCGGGGATCACGGTGTAGTTGTCTGTTAGTATCTGTTGGATGGTTGCCCTCTGATCTTTGATATTGATGGATTTGGTAGAGATGCCATGGACAATGACTCCATAGGTCGGCACGATGACTTCTGCTTGATCTCCTAGGCCTTTTAGCCATCCTATGTTCTGTTTGAGTTGTTGAGCCTCCGCCCTTGTGCTCGCGAATATCTACAGATCACCACTTTTGAGCTGATGTGCGTCGACGAGCTTGATCGCTCTAGTAGCAGTGTTGTCTCGTATGGAGTTTTGTACTTGTTGTTTAGTCCAGGTGATCGGATGATTGCGGTACCGTTGCACGATGCTATAGTCTTTGAGCTTAACTGTCACCAGTCGGTCTCTGTATGCGGTCACTGTGCTTTGTGTCTTTGTGGTGTGTGATCCTGGTTGTACTAGCACTGACGGTGGTGGTAGTAGCGTTGAGCCTTTGGCCTGTGCCGCGACTTAGGCCCATAATGTCCGTGTGGTCTTAACTCCACTGAAATTTACCGAGTTGAGTGATGTAGTGCCTAGTCCTATGGAGCTCTTGACAGCCGTGACGTCTCTCTGAATGGCCTGGATGTCTTTTGCCGCGTCTTGGATGTGATGGAGCACCTCCCCCACGGATGGCTGCTGCAGCACTTTACCAATGAGTGCGAGGGTGGATTCGGTGTAACTTTGGACTATGTGCCATGGAATCTGATTGGTTCTGCCTTTATCCGCTGCCTGCAGTTGGTTGCACGCTTCTCTAAGGTATGTGGCATGCTCGTTGATGTGTTCGGGGCCATTGTTTACCTGCGGCCATCTAGGCGCCATTACCACGAAATCACGCGTTTTGGACGCGTCAATCGTGATAACGGCCTAAGATAACGTGGGTCTACCAGGAAAATTTCAAAAAGTTACGCGTTTCAAAAATTTGATCTGAACTGTGGGTGGTGTTTTTTTTTCAGCTGCATAGCTGCTTACTGTATAGAGCGGCTGGGACAGACTATGACGTAATCAATCAATCAATCAATGACCATGAAGCCGTGGGCTATCAGAATTTACATGCTCAGGCCTTGAACTTGTGAGACTGTCTACAGTAGCTACCGAGTTCATCGTGAGCGAACCAAGTTCGAAGGAGCCGCTTTGGGACTTCAAGTGTCAGCTTAAGCTGAGGGGCTGAAATGGGCAGATAGTTAAAAAGGGAACCCGAAAAGATCCTATCTTTATCCTAAAGTAGTGTTAATATTTACGGCTCGCAGAGCTGGCCTCTACTTCTCTGTCATACTATGGACCGTCCTAAATTTACATATGAGGAAAGAAATCTCTTCAACGGGTAGGGAGACACAAACAGAGATTATGTTCTACGAATGGTAAATCGTCCGTCTAAGAACTAAAAGCGAACCCAGTGAAATCGGAAATATCGAGAAAAGTTAGCGGTAAATATCCGTAAGATGCACTAACATCTGGTCGATGCTCTAATAACGCCTCTCTAGACAGTAGGCTTAGAATTACGGTTGAATCATCCCATGTACGGATTAAAATAAACGACAACGACCCATATATATAGGAAAAAACCGAAGCGATAGGTCATCTCTTTATAAAGAACCTAAGTGAATTCTTCATTAAATCTCTTCAATAACTGTGTAAATGTATCGACGATAACTATGTTGCCGCAACTTAGAAGCCTTCCGGTAAAGCGTCTTAGATGAACTCCATAGGAAATATATAGATAGGCATACTTATTGTGGACGATTTCACCTAGGCTACGAGGCTAACTAAATATGTGAAAGTAGAGCCATTTCGTGAAATTAGACGTGAGTTTCACGGTAAGAATTAACGAGCTTAAGAAGACTAAGGAGATTTTAGCTCGCGAGCTAAATAAGTGGAAGGCATAAGCCAGCCTAGAGTTAGAAGTAAGATAAAAGGTAGAAGAGAAGGCGGCTCGAATGAAGATCGTCGTTAATAAGGTCCGAGAGAATAGTCGAAAGCTCGAGAGGTATATCTAGAAATGGAAAATAGAAGTAAAGAAATTTAGTGATATTACTACTAAGTCTAGGGAAGTTATAGACACGATCTTTACATTGCTTAAGGACTTCGGTTCGAGCATTTAGAAGGAATTCCTCGGCCTTGAACCGAGTCCTCCAATATAGAAATTTAACAGCATTAGATATTTTACACTATTTCGAACCTAGAAACCTATAGATCGGAAACCTCGTTGCGTTCTAAGTGATAGGCATCGTCCTCGGAGCGTACGCATTAGGTCGCGGTGATTCCCCTCTACGAGCTTAGCGACTTAAAAAAGGAAGTATTTCGGGCTCCCGGCTAGATTTAGCTCCCTTAATCTTCCGTATACTTTCATTACTAAGGGCCGTTTCTAAACGCCGTCACCCTCGATAATCTCGCTAGATCATTAAACGCTAGTGTCTTATTATAATAGATATTCTAGTGAACTGGGGCGAGGCTACTAGCCATGGGCATCAACTCGTACGGCGGTGGGTATGGTCTCTTCTCAACGCGCACACTCAACTAGGGGAAGTCCTCTCTATTGATAACTTAGTTACTTATGTATTGTATGAAAGATAGTTCCCCAGAACTATATAAGAAGAATCATAGTCTAGGGTCGGCGCCCTAGCTAATCATAACGCTATTCACCACTTCCAACTTCTCCCATTACATCCCTCCCATTATCGCTCGCTTCCTTAACGGCCTCGCTCAAGATTTAACTGTAATTTTCGCCTATTCTTCTCGGAAATATTAATTCTTTTTCATATCCTTTAAACGCTCTACGAAGTTATTTAATTATCTTTCATCTAACCCCTTCGAACTCGAGCTCTTCAACGCCCCTAGATCTTTACTACGCTTCGATTTACGCATAATTATCTTATAGATCTCTAAGGCGATAGTGAAACGATCCTCGATATCGACTTAAATATTAGATAAGATCATTTATAAATAAGTCGTCTCGTAAGTTTCCGCATTAATGATCGCTAAAGAATTTTTAATTACCTAGAGCCCATAATTACTAGTGTTCTACTAAAGATTAGATTCTAGGCGTATTTCCTAGGGTGGAATACTAAAAACGCTCTTCTTTAATCACCGAACGAAGAAATCGAGTGCCATCTTAGTTATATCTAATCTACCTTATATCGAATTAATAATCGAGTACGACTATATTATCTCATCGACTATAAAGATTAGCTAATAATACTCTTTATCTATTAAGTCGTCGTTAAAGATAATAAGTCGTCTTATACCATCGTCGACGTTTCCCTAGACTTTAAATTTCATCGATGTATTTACGTTCCTACATTAGTTAATCTAGAAAAGAAACGCGGCGCCTAAGATAATAATACATCTTATATATAATTCTTTCCGACTTACTATAATTCCCGCATCGATGAAAGACTAATTAATCTATCCGTTATATCTAGGACTTAGTAGGGCGCTCCGAAGAGTACTACTTAAGACATCGATAGCCTTATAGTCGGGATAGCTAAGTAAAACCTAGTAATTTATCGTCTCGAACCTTTCTTCCTACTACTTTATTAATTATTCGAGATTCTTTATAGAATCTTTATAAGGCGCAGCGATTCTTTCTAATTCTTCTAGATATAAGGCGATTTCTTTCTCGGCTATATATAAATAGACGAATATATATCGACTAGATATATATCTAGTAAGTAAGCTTAATACATTAATTATCTTTTTAGCTCTAAATTCGTAGTATCGTTATATATCTTCACGACTAATTAAGAGTATATTTCTTCCGTAATTTATCTATCTTATATACTTCTAAATCATTAACTATATAAATACGATAGAGCTTCTAGAATTTAGAATTAAATTTAGTAAGTTATTGAGCGTATCTCTTCTAAGGAAGTGTAGTAATAAGACGGCTTCGAAAGAACTAATAATACGCATTTCTTAGTTTATAAATTACTATCTAATCTCGATTCCGTAAAAGAGTTCCGAAATTCTTAGCTTCTTTATACTTAAATTATAGCCGGGACTTAGAGCTACGAAGCCTAGACTAGAGGTTATTATCTATAGCCGCGATCTCTTTACAACGCCTAAGATATTAATTAAATTATTTCTTATTTAATTTATTTATTCGCGACTCCTAAGAATAGAGCGTTCTTCTCTTAGTTTCGTAAGCTATATTAAACTTCTTCGTCCTATATCTATTAAACTAGGCCGTATCGAAAGGACGCTTTACTATAGTCGTATAGAAATTAGAGTAATAAGAGTAGACGTAGTAAAGGCCGTAGAAGTAGAAGTCCGATCGTCTCGGGTAGTTTACGTATTCGGACGTCTTACGAAAGTATTAAAAGAATCGATAAGGCCGGCGAAATTCGTCGTTCGAGATATAGGGAGATTATTAGTGCCAGAATAAGTGACGAGTCGATGAACTCCCGAGCCTAAAACGTTCTTAGTAATTAAATCTTACGTAGTAAGTAGTACTACTAGCCTAGATTTTCCTTCGAATATAATTAGATTATTATAGTTTATAGGAAGAACGCCTACCTAGTATAGCTTAGCCGCTTCTATAAATCCGTACCGGCTAAGTATCTCTAACTACTCGGGACGGTTACGCTCAGCGATTCGCCTATTATCGTTAGGTATTTTATCGTCGAGAACGATCTAAATGTCCCCCGTAACTAGATGCGACGAAGTATTATAGTGTCGATTCTATCGAATTCGGGTAAGACGGGCTATTATTTTATACGAGGCGACTTACAGTAGCCGAAGAGATATTACGTTATACTAGAGTGAGTGTTTCCGAGCGAATTAATACTAGTCTAAGAGTATAGTTACATTCTCTCCGTATAGAATAATTAATTCGTTAAAGAATTCCACTAACGTCTAAGTAGAAAGCTTCACGAATCCTCCGCGCGGGATAAGAACGCCTCTCTCTCTATACTTATAATTAAAGAGACTTATATTATTTATTCGGCCGTATTTAGAGAGTAACTTATTACGTATCTCTACGCAACGATTTCGTCTATTATTAAACTCTTTCTTTTTAGTATATAGACTAGAGTATTTTTAAAACTCTATACGAATATTTAGAAGATCTTTAGTGAGGTCGTAGACTCATTAGACTATAAAGTCGCGGATTTCGTCTATTTACCGATATTTTAATTTAAGAGAGCTATAGAAGTCTTTAACCCGATTCGCATTATCCTAATTTATAGTAGCTATAGCTTCTTTAAGCGTAACTTCTCTAATATAGTCTAGATATTTAATAGTAAGAATAGACTAATTTTCGATGATTCCGACATTAGATACTTAATATCTAGTATCTCTATTAATAGCGGCTATAGAAGTAGAATTTAGATAAATCATTAGGAGTCTCGGTAAAGTAGCCTAGGATTTCCGAATATCTTAATAGCGTAATGAATTATTAAGATAAGAAACCGAGAAGAAAGAAAGAAAAGAAAAAGATAATCTAGTGTAATGGGAGAAGTTAGAAGTAGTGAATAGCGTTATGATTAGCTAGGGCGCCGACCCTAGACTATAATTCTTCTTATATAGTTCTAGGGAACTATCTTTCATATAATACATAAGCAACCAAGTTACCAACAGAGAGAACTTCCCCTAGTTAAGTGTGCGCGTTGAGAAGAGACCATACCTACCGCCGTACGAGTTAATGCCCATGGCTAGTAGCCTCGCCCCAGTTTACTAGTTTAAACTATCGTCGTCGAAATACTAAACTTAATAATAAAGTTATATAAAGATATCTAGGCTTACGCTTTTAGAATCTTACTTAGAAAGATAATTTTAAGAGTAAAGAACGAGTCGAGAGAGTCTAGAATAATTCGAAATAGTAT